AGTTAATATTTTGTTGGTTGCTGTTTTATAAGATGTCAGTCATTTACTGAAAATAATACAGTTATTAGTAGTTTTACTCTGGGTCAGTCATTGATTGCATTTTATAGGAAACCAGACCCAGCCTGATTTCCAAGCCATTTTTAAATGTTGATCAATATTTTTTTACACTATTTATTGTATTTCAATGTTTCAGTAACTGAGTGTTTGCTAATGTTGCTGCCTATGCTTGTCAGCATGCACATGCTATATGTTTTACATATGTCACTTGGAAGTTTTACATTTGCATTTTATCTTTCCTGCTAACCCTCCCGTCTTCTCTCCTTCCTCCCTGCAGGTTTGATGATAGGCCACAGCTGCCACAGCCGCCATCATGTTCACCAAAAAGAAGAAGTCTCGTATCCAGATCTCCGCTCCATCCAACTTTGAGCATCGCGTACATACAGACTTTGACGAGCAGGAGCAGAAGTTTGTCGGGTTGCCGCGGCAATGGCAGTCACTTATCGAAGACACAGCCAGAAGGCCAAAACCCTTTATCGACGTGACTGTCATCACTACTGTAGAGCCACGCAAGGTGGGATGAGCGAAAATCAAACCAACTAACAAGTTGTCAGCTAAGGAAAATCATGTGTCCAATGTTCTAAATAATGTTTATTAGTTTGTACATGTTGACTGCGAGGTCAAACTACATATCGACTTAATAAAGTCTAGGGTTGCACATCAGAAAACAGTGCCGTCACAGCACCAAGTCTGCCCGCTCAACCTCAGCGGCAGCTTTAGCATCCGTCTTAGACATCTGCGGCGTGGCAGCCTTCAGTGTTGATAGTTCTGTGTAGTTAATTGAGCCAGTGTTGACTGCAGACAGAGGGGCTGCACTAGGTTTTTAAATGAATTTATTATATTGGCTCAAAAAAGGAAAAGAAAAAAAGTGCGCTGATGATGGTGATGATGATTACCTTATCACCACAGTAGCATTACGTGACCACAGTATTGTGGTACTGAGGTTATACCCATAGTCTGACCGTTCATATTAGAGGTCACCTTCACTTGCAAACAACATCAGAAATGTGCCAACATGCCACCCTAAGGCTGTATTTGTTAAAGTTGATGGTCACCATGTGAAATGCAACCATTGTGAATCATTGCACACCTTGACATTCGATGGTCATAAATATACAGTCTCCTTCCTGCAGTAGTTATTTATAGAACAAAGTTGTTAGTTAGTTCACACAAAGTATAGAAAAATATATTGCGGTACTGTATCAACCTCAAGGTATTGAGGTACACAGTCCAATTACAATACACAGTCCTATTAATAACTTAAGATACTGATGTCCAGCTAGCCAAGGCGTTTGTATTTTTACCACCACATGGTCAGTGCATTGCCTTTGTCTTCAAAAGCCAAATTCAGGTAAGACAGTCAAGTTGAGTCTTTTTTGCTTTGTCACTAATCAACTTGATGGTGATATTAAAAGTCTTATGTGAAAGACACTGTAGAAATTCTGAGATTCTGTCATTGGGAGCAACCAAATTGACATAGAATAGATACTTGATCAAAAGACAAAAAACAAATATTTTAAGCACTCACAAATTCACAAGCACTTTTATACATATGCAAACCAATTCGTACAGAATCCTAAAATAGTGACAGTTGTCACCACTTTTAAATGGATAAATGATGAGACAAGCTTTGTATGTAAGGGCCTCCCATCCTGTTTACTATTCCACCATAATCCAATTTTGTTTTAAATCTCCAGACAATTGTACGTGGCAGCAAGCTTGGAGTGGATGGCTCTCTGACCTGGCTGTTGGATGAGTTTGACACCATGTCTGTGACTCGCTCCAACTCCCTGAGACGGGGCAGCCCTCCCATCCAGCCTCGCAAGGACTCTAGTTCTTCAGTAGGGGGGCAGGAGAACGGAGATCCTCACCACAGACACTACTCACACCCAGACAAGTAAGTACTTGACTGCAGAGCTAGAGGGCGTAAAAGCACAGATTTTAAACATAAGTAAGATTGGAAACATTTGATAGTTGTGTATTTACTCTCTGCTCTACAATGTTTTGCAGATGTTGTAGCATCCATCATTTTATGATTAGCACAGGAACAAAGCAGATATGTTGTCAGTACAAACCAAGAATCTGGTTCACCATAACTACCTGCACTGATCTTTGCATGGCTCTGCTTCTTAGAGACCGACTCAGGTCAGACCACCACCACAGTGGAGGTGACCCCCGTCAGGGTCAGCGCGCACTCCGCCCTCCTCAGTGGGATGAGGGAGTCCAGGGTCGGCCCCAACAGCAGCCCCGGGGCCAAGAGCCCAGCAGGGCCCACAGGGACAGACCAGGCTCCGGCCCTCCTCCTCCCCCTCACAGGGACAGAGAGCCTCGAGACCGGGACCAGGTAGGGACTGAAGATGAAGCCTGGACTCAACACCCTCATCTTCATATTTATTGATAACAGGATTCATTATGTAGACATTGCTGGTAGTAGGACTCGCACGGCTCTCCTTTCTGCAGTCATCATATTATGGCGTTTTTCTTACACTTGTGCTGGCTTGGCTTGACTAGGTTTGAATTTGTGTGTTAGCCCAGCACAGCAGGGATTTGCGTCTCCATTACAACAGGGCCACCCACTTGAAGGTGTTACTTTGACTAACAACGTGCTTGTCTTGAGCTGATGACGTTTAAAAGCAGCAGACTGATCCACCGCTAAAGGGTCCTCATTATTTTGTTGTGAATATTTTAGCTACAAAATGACTGAGAGGTGAACACACAGAGAATTTTAAAAATATCTTTCTCTCTGGTCTCCCACACAGACATCAGTTAAGAATACACAATACACTCTTGTTTTAGGGGGGGATAAGGGTTATCAGTAGTTGGCTGCGGTTGGCGAGACGTCAATGCTACCTGTTTGGAGGCAGTCGGGCGAGCCTTTGGCCCAATTCTGGTGAAGTTTTCCCTGTTAACTGCACACATAGCCTAACTAAAAGCTTGCAAAAAGAGACACTGTTTTAACAGACCTCAGTTCATGTGGTAGAAAATGTCAGAGAGTTGGATCATAATGACTGAAGGCACCAAAATCTTATTTAGAATTAATTTTAGGTGCAATGAAGATACCTTTATTGGTGATCGAAAGGATCTATCTGTAACAATAGGGCACCTTATGGTTTTGAAGTCTTAAAACATTTTAGTCAATGGTATAAAAAAATTGAGTACCACTGATTTGCTATAATTTGACACCGCAGTAGGAAATCCATCCCCACCTAAACTCTGCCTCTCTTCAGGTGGATCAACCCAGTGACCACAGGCCAAAGTCCAGCTACATGGTGCGGGATGGCAGCCCTCAGTCTCCCAGGGACAAGAGGCCTCTCTCTGGGCCCAACATCCGTACTCCAAACCTGCCAGTAACAGAGGGGGTCATGAAAACTGCCCAACAGACCACACGGCCATTTAACACCTACCCAAGGACGGACAGCGAGGGCGGACGCAGCCCCACAGGACAGGTAGGGACGGCGGCATGAACAGAGAGACACACAGGCTGTTGATAGGACAGACAGCAGGAGAGACAGCATCCCTGAGGGAGGGCAGACGAGTGCAAGTTGAGCCACTGGCTGATGGATGAAAGCTGTTACCACTGTATATCTTTGTCAACATTTGTTGAAGATGAAGTTTTCAGTCGGTGCATTTTACATCATTAATCTTTAGTGCAGCAAAATGTATTGAGATGATTGAAGAAGTGATCGAATTTATTACTCGATAGGCTACCAAAAAATTTATTTGCATCTACAATATTAATAATTTCTATGATTTAAAGATTGATATTTAGCGTATTGCCACAAAAAGTAACGCAGTACTATGTTGGATAGATTTTTTCCCCCACCTCTAGTTGTTAGGTACGTGTCTTTGCTGCATTAAAATCTTAAAGGGCGCTGTAGACTCACTAACAACTCCCATCCAGAGGCACCTCAGTATTGATGACTGGACGATTCTTTATCGTCTAGGGTACAAGCCATGTTGAAAAAATACGTTTTCTGGCCGCCACAATTTTCTTACTGTCTATGCATATATCTTGCAAAAGATGAGATCCTGTTTTGTTCATAGTCTCTGAGCGAAAGGAAAACCTAAAAACTATAAAAGTTATATATAAAATTCGTGCGCCATCTTGAAAATACAGGTACGTACAGGGACATACTTGAGAAATACGGAATCGCCTTTTGCGTTTTCACTTGTCGGTTTCCGCCTACAGGTAGAGTGACGAAAAGCAGAAGCAAGCAGGCTAGTCACAAGTGCCAGTGCATTTGAAAAAAGGCTAAAAGGCAACGTGACCGGCGATTTAAAAAAAAACGAGGGTCAACATTGGGGTAGCCTTTCCCAGGTGGAGAGAGCTGCTGAAGGAGAATCACAGCTAACAGCGGCTAACAGCTGTTGGCGACCAGCGCCGCTAACGCTGTTAATGCTGTTAGTGCCGCTGGTCGCTAACAGCTGTTAGTGACGCAGTGTTGTGAGGAGAGGGATGAGGTGTGTGAGGTTGAGCCACTTGTCAGTTGTCAAAAGACAAGACGTGATTGGTTTGTTTCGATTTACACCCGCCCCAACAGTCCTACATTGTAAACACTCAGAATGGTGAGGAGGGGGTTTGTCAACTTGCGTCGCGTGTGTCTGTGTAGGAGCCTGAATGAATACTCCATGAAGTATCGGATGACGTGGTTTCATCAATGTTATCATAGCTTTTTTTGTACACAGCAGCTACCGTTGTTGCAATACGCGTTTGAAACAGTGAGGCGCTAAAGTGCGCTATCCGTTTGAATGCAATATACGATCTCAACACTACATAGGAGAAATTCCAACACAGTGCCTGTTTAAAGAAATTTGCAGATCCATTTTCAGCATACATGAATATCACTATCATAACCATAAAACATCAAACATGAGTTAAACGCTACAATTTGTTGTAGCACACATTTTATTGGGAATCCATTCAGATGACCACCTGTGGGTCACAGTGACTCACTTCACTGGAAACCTATTAACATCACTACATAATAGATCTCCAACCCATCAAAGTATGTCCTTTTTGTGATGACATTCTCTTTCTTGCAGCCGGTTCGACATCATGAATCCTCCCCTCAAAATGGCCCTTCTAGTGGCTCCTCACGAGCTTCCTCTGGCTCCAAGCCCCCTGTAAGCCACCCGCACCCTCATCACACCTCCCACCCCAGCCTGACCCCTGAGGCCACCCAGCAACCACACACCCCTCACCCCAACGTTCCAGCCCCACGACCCCCTGTGCCCTCTGGGCCCCCAGCATCAGGTGCTCCGTCACAGGGCCGCTCACCGCAGAGGGAGCCCCAGAGGGTTTCCCATGAGCAGTTTAGAGCGGCGCTACAAATGGTGGTGGATCCTGGCGATCCTCGGACCTACCTGGACCACTACATTAAGATAGGGGAGGGGTCCACGGGAATTGTGTGCATCGCCACGGTGAAGACCACCGGGAAACTGGTCGCCGTGAAAAAGATGGACCTGAGGAAACAACAGCGCAGAGAACTTCTCTTCAACGAGGTAAGAAGTCATGATCTACTGAAGGCTGTGATTCAAAGCAACTCAAAATCCAAACACACTAAATGTGACAATAAATGCTAGCCTGAGTGTCAGACTGAAGCTCCCAGAATCTTCAGTCTGACATGGCTTCCATTGAAGGCGATTTACAAGGGGGAGGGAATTTGATTTTTCCCTAACCAATCAGTAGAGATCAACGACTCACCCTGAATCTGACGTCATTAGTATCCATGCCTCGGGGGTGCCGAAAATCTATGATCTATGGTCTGGAGCCAGGCTAAATAAATGCATCATCTGATGCTTTAATTCCAACTGCAGAGTGGATGTTTTACTGCACTTTTACATTTTACCACTGTGATAAGTCATATTTTTTTATGCCCCCGTGCTGGCGATAGCCATGGCCTGAGGCATTACGTTATTGGGTTGACCACCTGTCCCATTCTTGTGAACACAATATCTCAAGAACACCTTGAGGGAATATCTTCCTCCAAATTCAGCACAAAAGTTCACTTGGACTTAACGATGAACTAATTAGATTATGGTGCGCAAAGGTCAAGGTCAGTGTGACCTTGCATTTGTCTTATTCTTCTGACTGTGATATCTCAGTAACACCTTGGTTAGCCTGCTTGTCATCTTGCTATGTTTGCACTTTTTCAAACAGAAAACGCATGTTTTATATTGTAATATTAACTGAAAATGATGTGCAATATAGACAACAGGTAGACTGTTTTTGCGATTGCCATTTACCAGAAACTTTGCGCTTCCTGGCAGTCTCCCTCCAGTCAGCTGCCTCCTTATTTTACTTTTTGTAGTGAAACAAGGAGGTGTCATTTTGATGTTTCCTCATTCCAACCTCATGGATCAGCCGTTTCTCATCTGTTGCAGCTCTTTCAGAGCAAGCGACAGAAACAAATAGAAGATGTCCAACAAAAGTTTAGCTCTGAATGCTGCACTGCAGTGCTCGTGATGCTCGCGGTCAGTCAGGACACACACGAGTTGCCAATCGTCACTTTCCATTTCAGACACTTGAATCTGCTTATCAGGCTTCAGTGTGTCAAAAAGCTTTAATGGCTGTTGATCAATTGCAGCTTCAACCCTGCAGATAAACCAAGGTAGAGAACCCTTTGAGTCCACTAAGTAATGTAATCATACCCTGACCGTGTGTCCTTCTGTTTCCTTGGTAACTGCAGGTGGTGATCATGCGGGACTACCACCATGAGAATGTGGTGGAGATGTACAACAGCTACCTGGTGGGAGACGAGCTCTGGGTTGTCATGGAGTTCCTGGAAGGAGGAGCTCTCACTGACATTGTGACACACACCAGGTGAGAAACTTTTTTGGAGGGGAATTCAGTCATTTATAACAACTCGCAACGACTGTGGCTCAGGAGGTAGAGTGGGTCGTCAACTAATCGGAAGATCAGCAATTTGATTCCTGGCTTCTCCAGGCTGCATGTTAAGTATCCTCGGGCAAAATACTCAAACACTGACCACTGAATTGATCCATACTGAATTCCCTGATGGCCGTTGCATCGACGTGATTGCGTTTAAGCTGAGTAGCAGGTGGCACCATGTATGGTAGCCTAGGCCACCAGTGTGTAAACGTGTGCGAATGGGTGAAACTATCATGTAGTGCGAAAGCACTTTGAGTGGTCGGAAGACTAGAAAGACACCATACAAGGGCAGGTCCATTTTAACCATTGTGGGTGAGTATGTGACTTCGTATTCCATGATATGAATCTATTTTCATGTAATTCTTGTGTACCCTGCTTTAAATTTCCCTCATTAAACCCCTTGCACACCAAAACTCTGTTCTCCCATAGGGGGGCAGCATTGTCTAATGTGTTCTGCACAGACAGATACACCAACATCACAACAGGAAGAAGTACTCAGTTTACTTTAGTCAAAGTGGCAATATCACAGTGTAAAAAATACTCTGTAACAAAAGTCCTGCATTCAGAATCTTAATTCAGTGAAAGTACTAAAGTATAAGCATAAAAATATACTAAAGTACCAAAAGTAAATATACTCATTATGCAGAATGCCCCATTTCAGATACATAGATATTATATTATCGAATTATAATTGTTAGTGTATTAATGTGTTCATCACTTTCATGTTGCAGCTGGTAAAGGTGGAGCCAATAATAAATCAATATTTCTAAGTTGATTTGTATTTTGTATTAATAATACGGGTCTGTAAGTCACAAATAAATGTTGCACATATTTTCCTCAGATGTTGTGGAGTAGAAGTGAAAAAAATGAATCAATAAGAAATACTCAAGTAAAGTTCAGGTACCTCAAAATTGTACTTAAGTACAGTATTTGCATAAATGTATTTAGTTACATGCCACCAATGATCCCTGTGGCTTGTGTCATTTAAGAACAAGTTATTTATTGATTTTTATGACAGTTTTTCAGATTCTTGTGATATTTTAAGATGACTGTATCTTTATGAAATACAGACAGAAAGTTTAAAACTTTAAATTTAACACATAACTGCAAAAACAAAGATGATGAAAAGTCTAAAATCTATGGTGTCTCCCTCCCTCTACAGGATGAACGAGGAGCAGATCGCCACAGTGTGTCTGTCTGTCCTGAAGGCGTTGTCTGTCCTCCACTCACAGGGTGTGATCCACAGAGACATCAAGAGTGACTCCATCCTCCTCACTCATGATGGCCGCGTATGTACCACAATATTTTTCACTGCTTTTAATGCGTCCACCGGCAATAGCTGTGGCCGGTGACACAGTGGTTTTTAGGGTGGTCCATCCATATGTCCCATACTGGTTAATGTGGAATCTCAAGAGCTTCTTTAGGGAATTTCTTCAGAGTTGGCACAAATGTACACAGGGGCTGCATCCCAAGTCTCTTAAAATTACTGCTAACCACCTTATCTAGCCACCTTATCTAACTGTTTAGTCCCTCCCACTTAGGAAAACATTTAAG